TGAAGATGTTCAAGGAAGGGCTTCTGAGCTTGTCGAGACACTAAAGAAGGTGAAGGGTCAAGCTAGGGTGCAAGCCCTCAAGGAGCTTCATCAAGTTGTGGCAGCTCACGCCACTGCCAGGAAGACACTGATTGATAAAGGTGGGGCTACTGTAGTTTCATCCCTGCTAGGTCCATTTACTTCACATGTTGTTGGTTCCGAAGTCATTGCCATTCTTGTCAATTTGACCCTTGATTCAGAATCGAGAACGAGTTTGATGCAACCCGCAAAAATTTCATTAATGGTGGACATTCTGAATGAGGGGTCCATTGAGACGAAAATCAATTGTACCCGGTTGATCAAAATGCTGATGGAGGAGAAGGATTTTCGATCAGAAATTATTTCAAGCCATAGCCTCTTGGTAGGACTAATGAGGCTGGTGAAAGATAAGAGGCATACAGCCGGAATCTTGCCTGGACTTAGCCTCCTCAGAACAATATGCTTGCATAAGGAAGTAAGGGGTTTGATGGTGAACATTGGGGCTGTGCCTCAGTTAGTTGATTGTTTGCCTTCTCTCGACCATGAATGCTTAGAACTAGCTCTTTTCGTCTTGGATGCACTGTCCTCTCTACCGGAGGGAATATCAGCTTTGAAGGATTGTTCAAACACCATTCCGAATATGGTGAGGCTTCTTATGAGAATTTCAGAAAGTTGTACTCAATATGCACTGTCAATTTTATGGTCTGTATGCAAACATGCCCCTGAAGAATGCTCATCAATTGCTCTGGATGCTGGTCTAGCGGCAAAGCTCCTCCTTGTGATACAGAGTGGTTGCGGTCCTGTCCTGAAGCAGCAGTCTGCAGAGCTCTTGAAGCTTTGTAGTCTAAACTATACTGATACAATATTCATTTCCAAGTGCAAACTCACAAGGACAATCCAATGACAGGGAAATTTTACTTGGATATGTATATGACCTTTTTGATTCTGATATGAGGCCCTGAACAGAATGCCAAATCGGGGGTGTGAGGTACGAATCAGCTCACCTGTATATACTTGAAAAGTATGTTTGTTCCAACAATTGATTCAACATTCATGAAGAAGTCTCACAATGTGGACATCACACACCATGCTGGTTCTAATGCAATCATGCAATTTGCTCAACTGGCGTCAATGGTTGTCGAATAAACCCCAGAAGAAAGAAGAAAGTGTAGTTAGTTGTTGGATAAAGATACTTGTTAGGAGGA